ATGCAAAGTGTTTTCCATCCGACATCAAAGCATCTGCTCATACCGACTCGGAACGGATGTACGGCAACAATCAACTCTCGAACGTGACTTGGGTGTCCTGATTCAAGATGACTTGGGTTGTTCCAGGCAATCCGAAAAGTCCTCGAAGACGGGGTACCAACACGTCGGGCTGTTGCGACGGGCTTTTGGACAAATAAACAGCTCTATAATTCGACAAATGCTCAGTGCGTATGTTCGCCCTCAAGTCGAATACGCAGTTCAAGCTTGTCATCCATGTCTGAAACACGATCTAAATGCACTGGAGCAGCCACAATGTCGGACATCTAAGAAGGTAATTGGAATGCGCAAGCTTTCATACTAGGAGAGGCTACATCGATTGGGGGATTCAGTGGAAGCTATCGTAGACTACGAGGCGACCTGGTTATGGCATACTTGATTCTGGGAGACAAACATCATGTGTGCCGCCCTTTACTGCGTCCCAGCACCAATACAAACCTGAGGGGCCACTCACTGAAACTCGCTGTACAGTATAGCCACCTGGAGTGCCGCAGAAATTTCCTTTCCATTCGAGTTTGTCACCAGTGGAATGCTCTACCAGAATCGGTCGTCCCTGCAACGACACTAACAGTATTTAAAATACGGTTAGATGATGCACTCATCCAATTACACGTTGTCACTTAGCAATACGTCTCCATCATACACCTGCAGTTTACCATGGAATCATTTGATATCAATTGTCCGTGCAGCGCATCTAAGCAAATTGCAGGACTACAACGGAGCAAACGATGTCCGAATCCTCATATTGAAAGTAAAAACTGTTTGACCATCAATCTTATCATTGTTGATAATTCCATATCCTCACCAACTATCAAATGAGACCAGAAAGAGAAAGTGGCGAACAAGCGTGTTTTCAGGGCTTCATCATCAGGCTGACACAACCATAATAAAGCAAGCTAGAATAGACACAATGGGTCTAACGCATGGCTACGCATGGGTTATGCATGGGTTAACGCATGCTACGAGTACTTTACATAAACCGTGTACCAAGCATCTATTGAAGCAGGAACATCTAGACGCCCTTAAAGAACTCAAGCGAAACGATAATGTACTGTCGTCTAGGCCACATAAAGGAGCCGGGATCGTTCTGATGGACAGATCGGACTACATCAGCAAGATGTATACCATTCTTTCTGACGGGTCAAAATTTCGTAGAATGAATAATGAGAATGACAAGACACAGGCAATCGAGAGATCCATAACGAAACTCCTGCGTTGCTTAAAGCAGGAGAATGTAATCGACTCAGATATATTTGAATACACCAGACCGAGTGGGACAGTGATTCCAAGATTGTATGGCCTGCCCAAAGTACACAAGGAAGGGCTACCACTAAGGCCGATACTGCATATGTGTAACTCACCGTATCATTCAACTGCCAATTGGCTCATCAAACGGCTGGAACCAGTCAGGAAAGCCATAGATAGATACAGTCTCAAAGACACCCTTGATTTTCTTGACTCAATGAGACAAATTGAGCTAGCTGGGCGACAGATGTTTTCCTTAGATGTGATGTCTCTTTTTACCAATGTCCTATTGGAGGAGACCGTAGACTATCTGTGCGAGTTCATCCGGCTGCGCAACATCAACGTTGGTATCCCACTAGACCGGCTGAGACAACTGCTACTCATGTGCACGCGAAACATTCACTTTCAGTTTAATGGGACGCCATATCGACAAATAGACGGGGTGGCAATGGGTTCACCACTACGACCGTTGCTCGCGGACGCCTTCATGAGCAAATTGGAATGCAACCAGTTGAACGAATCCATCAACAGCTTGGTTTATTACGGTCGATATGTAGACGACATATTTTGCATTGCGGATAATGGAATGTGCGTCGATGATCTATTGGCCCAGTTTAACACTGCACATAGTAACATAACTTTCACTATCGAGCTAGAACGTAACGATTCGTTGGCATTTTTAGATGTCCAAATCAACAGGGCATCAGACGGGTCAACGCGGAGGAGGGTGCACAGAAAAGCAACCTGGAATGGGCAGTACATCCATTTCGCTAGTTTTGTTCTGATAAGTCAAAAAGGAACCTCGTACGCTGCCTAACGGAGAGAGCGAGAACAATATGTCCAGATGATATGCTTTCAGATGAGCTGAGCTTTATACGAAACGCACTCGAGCGTAATGGGTACCCTGAGAAATTCATCCACAGGCACATGGAACCGCGAGTACAAAAGTCCAAACCCGTTTCCGCTCAGAAACCGATGATATATTTATCGTTACCATTTAAGGGTGACGCCATAGCAGAACGGACCACCCGAAGACTTCCCTTAGCAACAAAGAGAACGTATTTTGCCGCTAACCTCCGCGTAAGATTCACCTCAACACCGATTGTGCGCCAACAACTTAAAAACAGGATACCTCGGTCGCAGACCTCCTTCTGTGTGTACAATTTCTCTTGCTCGTTTCGAGCAAGGTATATTGGGAATACGACCAGGCGACTGTCCGTTAGGGCTCGAGAGCATTGCCCAGCTTGGCTCTACAGCTGCGTGAGGAAGAAAGTGACGAGTGCAGTATTGACGCACCTAGTTGACTCCGATCATCAAATCGATTCGTGTGACGCATTCACACCGATCTACTGTGTCCCCGGACGTTACACACGGGCAGTCAAATGTCGCCTGCTGTCGACAGCAGAGGCGATCGTAATTCGGATCTAGCACCCGGACCTATGTGCTTAGAAAATCTCGTCCATACTTTAACCTTGCCTTGGCCTCAGATCAACGCGACTAACAATGGCAGTCACGTCACTTCACTTGACCTCACCTCAATCAGACCAAACACGTGGACTTATCGATTAGTCACTATACTTCAGTGACCCAATTTAAACCCATCGTGTCTATTATAGCTTGCTTTATTGTGGTTGTATTAGCCTGAGGATGAAGCCCTGAAAATAAGCTTGCTCGCTACTTTCTGTTTCTGATGTCATCTCTGGGAATTATTTATCTATCAAACGGAGCTTGTAAAGCAACGCTTCCTACCCGTATAAAATCATTGTTCGTTGTTTTATTCATTGACAATAGAATCACTGGGTTTGACTCGATCTCGCCTTGCCAGTTGATTGATCCGGTTTAATCCCGTTCCAGCAAATGGTTCAGCGTCAGTGCTCTTGGACGTGGTGGGTTTGCCCCTGACAAGTGTTCTCCCTATAAAAATCCCCCAATGTCTGTCTAACAACACTGCGACGTGGCGGATGTGACTCGCCACTCAATAACGTCACTGCTAATTGCCTTTTCGGAGGATCACACACACACACATCACGTACGTCATCCAATTCGAGGTCTTCCTTTGATCTTTCCTCGATGGAGAATCCGGCAAGCAAAACCACAAATGCAGAGTCACATTAACAAACTCTCAACATGACTACTTGCACATAGACACAAGCAACGACATGCATATTTACACATATGTTACTGGTTAACCTGCAATTCTTCTGTGCAATTAGCGATTGTACATGTTTCTATTATCATGATCATGCTTTTACAGGCGTGCCACGCACTGTCGAGTATAAACTATTTATTTATTTAGTTACGTTGGATCAAATTTTCCCCTTCGTTCACGGGTCACATGAAATTTCAGACAAGCATCATCAGAGCTGTGATCACCATCGATGAGAGTCTTTGTCTGTGTTGTATAGGCTAGACCTATCCCATAGAAAGCACATAAATCCGGATCAACACAGCTACAGATGGTGTTAAGTGTGTGGGACGGATACCAATTAATCTGTGAAATTTGGTGAAAAATCCGTGATGATGCAGCGAGTACAAACTGGTTCGCACACATACACATGGGTTTCTGTCGATGAATGTCACACAGTAGAAGAGCAGTAACAACACTGAGGTATATGGACACCCTCCAACCACGTGGTTCTCACCTTGTTTTGTTAGTTCCGAGTGCATTTGACCTACACAATTGGAGACGGTTGGTGTCATTTGTCGCCATGCTACCAGCAGGAATTGAGTGCTTTGCTTGTGCATGCGCGTGTGTGTGTGCGTGCGTGTGTGCAGCCTCTTCGCGTTACTCGGCTTTAGGCATGCACAGTGGTAGCAGAGCTTGTACCGAGCAACAGTCACCTGGTGACAAGCTGTTTAGCGAGGTCAACAAAACAAACCCTGAGAGATGTATGCTACAGGTGAACAATTTGCATCACTGTGGTTACCAATGCATTGATCGCAACTTGCCATACTAACACCATCGTCACAGCCACAACTGAATAGACCGCGCACCTGAGTGAAAAGAGCGGCGTGGTTGAATTCAGCATGACCTCCGGCCACCATCTACATTGAAGGAATTGCGCGTTGCTCACCCATCCCGTGGGCGCACAAACGTATTGTAGTGTATGGGTTGTTCCAGTGCAGAGATCTCATTGCGTTTCACCTGAGGAAATCACCGGAAATTCATCCAGCAGATGTACTGCTTGTAAATACTTCGAATGCTTACTTGTCCTCTTCGACCACTTGTACACACTGAAGCAGAAAACCGTTAGAATACATATCATTCCAGAAAAGTATATAACATTTAGTGCGGGTAGTTTTCAGTCACTTTCAGTATGCTTTTCTTTCCATGGTTAATCACGAATGGGTTGATCCTCTAAGGTGATTCATTGAAGCTTTCCAACTGATTACTAACACTGATGCAGGGTGAATCGTTACGGACTCAGAGGCAAGAAAAATGGTCGCTGTGTTCAAATGAGGCGGATATTGCTAAGGGCTAGACAGCTGGACAGCTTATCTCTGTACGTACAGTCAAACCTGTCTAAGGGACCGACAAAAGATGGTCGCATTGGACAGGTGGTCGCTATGGACAGGTTCATGCACAGGGAGGTTACTCATAGCAGAAAACGTTGGGGATGTTTTTGGCTGGTCGCCATAGACAGGGGGGCCCCATAGCACGCTGGACTGTATAACAACAGCCTCAATGACGAGTTAATACGGTGTTCCCCAATTTGGTATTTGCAACGTTGACACAATGATGGCCTACATTGCTTACAACAGCAGCTATGAAACAAAACGACGGATACACAAGTGTGATAAGATTGAAATGGGGAAAAGAGCTCCTACAGGTACCACCTGGTTGGGACTAGTCAGTACAAAATAAATCATGTACACAATAGCTGAGACATCACGAATGGGCTATTCATCAAGTTGACATAACGAATAGTATCGAATGAATACAGGCGGAGAGCGTTGATGCATCATCGTCATCATCAGAGCAGTTTAGCTGAAGGTGAGAAACACACCTCAGCCAATGTGCGACAATACAAAAACATAAGAGACTAAAACATTACACTAGAAATTACACTACAGAAAAAATGACGTTAAGTAGTATAAGATGCGTTTTTCATGAGGTGTTTGATGTTGCAAACTAAGCCGGAACGATTGGACAAAAATGCTCTGCTGTGAACGGGACGGGGTAATCCTTTGCTTACCAAATTCCCGGAGGTATTAATCCGGGTGACTGGGTCCAGTGGATCCCTTACTTCATGGCCGCACGAGGGGAATGGTTGTTTCGGATATCAATCGTACACTGTAGTAATTTCACTGTTTTGCCCAAAGAATGATTGTATGTGAAATCATAAAAGCTGCATTGGATTCACATGACAACTGCCGTCAGCAAGGCTGCGACAGCAGTGTCCAACCGGTAGCTTGGTCGGCCACATCTCTGAAGTCGTGTGCAGCGACCAGATTGCTCACCATGTTCCGCTCGAGTCGGTTTAGTCCACAAGGTGAACAGATTCCCGCCACATTCAAAGGAACGATGCTGAATTCATGGACTGCAATGGCCATGAGGATGTCGTCCATGGGTAGATAGGGGATCGACTGTAGTCCGAAAGAGAGCATTTTTGCAAATGGCATACTCATGAGAACTGCCCCACCACACACAAACGGTGGATATTCATTACAGGGATATTCGATGTGACTGACGTACCATTTACTAAGCATGTAACGAGATGGTCCCTCTGCTCTTCTTACTAGTCCTGCAAAGAATATGGGGTATTGAATTTCCGTCACATTGTTCAGAATAGAGACCAAATTGCGAGGATGAACGAGGAAGTCTTCGTCGAAGATAACAACATATCGGGATCGTGTACACCGATCGGTGATGTATTTTAGGCCGCTTTTAACTTTGTGCGTGTTGTTCCGATAAGCGTCCACAAAATCGAACTGAAGGATATCCTGATACGTCGAGTGCTCCAAATTAAGCTGAGTCTGTACATGATCCCTTAACTTCACGTGATCTGCCAACACACCAAAGACAAACAACACACGCGCTGATAGTCCATGTTTGGAGTAGCAGGACACATTACCCCACGTTTGACGTATTTGTCGACGTAGGCCGTATTGCTCATGAGTTGTTTTAATAAGGATAATTATGTTGGGCTGATCGCTTGATCGACACAGGTTGCCATCCTGCATAATCACGGGGAAGTCCACTGGATATCGTAGGTGAGCCGTCAATCCTCGTTGGAAATCTTGGTAAGCTGCATGTAAATTGGTGATGCCTGTGAATGCGGCATAACTTCCATTTTGGCCACATACGATTTCATTTCCGGTGTTGAATAGAATAAGTAGAACACAGGACAAGATAACAGAGAAGATCCACAAAACACGATGATTCGTCATGTTCCGGGTTTTCAGAAGCCTGCAATATCTCATGGGCAAACTAGCCAGCGGTTTCTCCTAAAACAGTGAAACAGTGCTCTTGATCAAATTGTTAGACGTTGTGTTTGGTGCGTGTGAATGAATACCATTTAGTGTAGACTCTCTGGCTCTAGTATTTGTCACATACTCTAGCATTCGCTATGACTAATTTCACGGGTAAATTGAACTTACCTAACGATAATGTTTGCATCCGATGTAAATAAGATACGACTGTTTAAACATTAGTCCATAAATCCACACCGTATCCACGTGTACGGACCACATGTACGGAGGTGCCGATCGCTTTCAGGTATAACGGTTCTTTGTACCGTGGATGTTTTGCATTGCAGCGTAAATCGTGTGGCCAATCAGCATGCCCGTGTGAATACACAGCTGTTCCCTATTGGCTAGTCAAGGTCAGTCTCATCCGAGTTAACGGTCTGCCTAGTAAAGAAGGCGCAACCTTACCTTCTGAGTGATAATCAAAACCAGCAAGCATACCAGACTCGCTGGCTATATGGGGAAATGGATTTAAGTCGTAACGACCACGTGACCGAGTCCGCATGAAGGAATGTCCTAACCAGAATGAAAGTGGGTGTTGTCCGTACAAAAACACTGCACTCCACGACGCATTTTGACCTTACTTGATCTCATCGGATAGAGATAGCAGGTCTTGAACCCGGCACCATTGAGATGTCAGTAAGGACCATTACTCATAAGCCAGTGAGTCACGACGGACAGCTCTGGACACATGGGTTAATGGCTGATTAAAGGGTCATTTTGAAGTACACGGTCCTACTTCAAAATGACTGGGATCAGCTAGAAGTCGTTCAGAAATTCAATTACCTGGGAAGTTGTATCAGCGCCCTTGGGATCGAAGACGAGATCACGAACCGCATAGCGAAAGCTCGAAGTACTTTTGCTAACCTTCGCCACCTATGGCGACGGCGCGACATTACTCTCGCCCTGAAGGGTAGAGTGTACAATGCAGCGGTACGTTCGACCCTACTGTACGGTTGCGAAACCTGGTCCCTAAGATCGGCGAACATGAAGAGGCTACTTACGTTCGACCATCGGTGCCTTCGCAGTTTGGCTCACATCTGGTGGGAACACCGCGTGAGTAACGAGCGTGTTCGACGCCTTGTTTACGGCCTAGGAAAAGGGAATGAACCGCTCAGCACCGTCATTTCACTCACCAGGCTCCGATGGCTCGGCCACGTGTTGCGCATGCCAGCCCACCGACTCCCTCGACGTGCGTTGTTTGCTCACCGGGGATGTGGGTGGAAGAAGAGGAGAGGTGGCCAAGCGATGACTTGGTCCAGAGGAATGAAGGCCCTCACTTCGGAGCTGGCCTCAGTTGGAGCTTCACGGCTCCCTGGTTGGGGTCCAAAAGACGGTGAACACGTTTGGCTGGATACACTTGCTGATATGGCAAGGAGCCGACCTCAGTGGCGTTCCTGCTGTGAGTTTCTTTGTCCCTTCCCATCCCTTTAGCCTCCCCCACCATCTACGATCTTATTTCGTAGGGTAAAACGTAATTAAATTTTTGTTTTTGCCTAATAGCCGGCTAGTAGCTTACCGGAACGATGCGTATCCGTTGCTGGTAGCTCAGCTGGCATGCAACTGTCGTATTTATTTTTCCTTTATGTATTGTATGTATGTATGTATTTCCTTTATGTATTGCGGTGCAATAGCGGAGGTGTTTTACCATCTCTAACTGACATGTATAATGATGATGATGATGATGACACGGTCCTACTGATATACTTCGCCAAGATGTGGTGGTTTGGATCACTTTATGTGTTTCATTGCCACCAGCTTATCTATGATTAGTTAAGTTGCGCAATCGACTGGGTATAACGCTTTTTCGTTTTCTGATTCACCTTTCATTTATTGTGGTGTTGCGCTAGCGTTCAAAAGTTAGAGTCGACAGATGTAATTCCACTAATTGTGCTGTCATCTTTTTGTTGTTGTTGTTGCTGCTGCTGCTGTTGTTGTTGTTGTTGTGGTTGTTGTTGTGATTTTCATTGTTGCTATTACCATTGATAGTAGAAGGCCATCAGGAAATCCGCTCTAGACAGTAACGCCACCTGCGGTATTCGAGCAGGTCAGTCTTAGTCTGTCCACATATTTCACACGAACATATTTCCGGTCAGTCGTATTGACTGAATCGAACACATGTTGCTCCCAACCACCAGTGATGAAGGAGGTTGTGAACTCAACATGTTTCGCGTTTGTTACTAAGTTTGACCAACAAATATCTGGTAGGTTGAAGTCTCCATCTACGAGTTTACCTAAACAACTAAGTTCCGATATGTAATTAAAGAACGCAACCAACTGGTTCTCATCACTGAAGTTGGCCCCGCGTTAGCGGAATATACAGACTACAAGAGTTCGCTTAGTACGGAAAGACAAGAATAACCAAGCGGAATCAATAGTGTGGCATATAAGTGGAAGTTTGAATTCAGAGACAAGGATGTACTGTGAGTAGTATGTTATGCAACCACCTCTTCTGACCTGCTTTCGATCACTTCTACTAAGCTTGTAACCTTCGATAGAAAGCAGCTGGCTGGGCATAGAATCATGACACTAGGTTTCAGTGAGTAAAATCATATCAAGTTTATTCAGATATATGAAGGTGCGGAATAAAGGAAGCATATTCAACAGAGAACGGATATTAAGTATCACGAGTCTTAAAATGTCCTGACGGTGTCCATCATCCCACGCAGTATTCACTCTTGCAATCACATTAGTTCTAGAATCTTCCGCAGCAAATCCCTTACCGTGAGATTCTCCAGTACTATCGGGATTAGAGGGGGTGGAGAATGGGTAGGGGAATGCAAAAAGAAGGCTGTGGTAATTTGGGGCGATTGAATTATAGTGGATGGGGTGTAATTGCCGAAGGGCTCGCAGAAGACATTGTGAGAGGAGGAGGCGGAAGAGAACATGGATAGGGGCATAAATAAGTGGTCTGTGTTTCAGCAAAGCCATGTACAGGCCTGCCAGGAGAAGTGCTTTGGCATCTCGCCGGAGCAATGGGGAAGTGTTTTTTTGCTACTCTGTGTAGCAGCATTATTATTCACTACTGTCATTGGGACACGGGGAGTCACCTTTCTAGCATAAAGGTTCCTGTTCGATCTAAGACGTTTAGGGCGTGGGCCATGACCACTGCTGCTATGTTTAGTAATAATGTCAATGGGCCGTAATGCACCTTCACTGGAGCTATCGATAGTCCCATTGGATGTTTTTGGACTTGTATCTGTTTCAATAGCGGTGTGGGGATTAATCCTAATCCCTACTGGTTAGTCCGAACGTGGTGCATCGAGTGAATCTACACTATTTCCTATGTCCACAAGACTGGTGCGGTGTGGAGGCGTGAGCATCTCAATTTCCGCTACGCTGTCGCCAACGTTAGCATCGCTTGTGTGGACAGTGGCCATGACAACATTATCGCGTTTTTAGAGGGGGAGAACCGAACACTGTTGAATGACCTCCTTCTTAGCACTCCAGGAGGCGCGCATAGAGGATGACACTGCTTCGGCTCAGGCGAGACACTAGTTGCGCTCATGCGTTGAAGTTCACGTTGCAAAGGTGACCTGTCTTCGAATAGAATAACTTTGCAAAATGTCGGAACAGATCTTAAAGTATTTTGGCTTTTGATAAACGCACTTACAAAACTTTCGCTACGAAAGCTGAACAGAGTCGGACAAGGAAAACGTAAAGATTTTTTCCTCAATCTTCTACAACTAATATCGGTCTCAGCGATGTTGCACGCCCTCGAAACAGTATGCCTAATGTTGTCAATCGTGATATTGTCAGCTATGTTGAGGGCGATGGCGTTTTTTCCCCTTCTGCATCTTTGGGTAACCTCAGAGGCGACTGCATTTAGGAAGTTTAATACTCCAATTTTGTGCTTTTGCGATGGATTAGCCGGAGCCTGAATTATGTATGAAACTGATATAAGGATATTTCCCAATGAGCCAAACAACTTCAGTTGCTCATTTTGTTCATCGAACTGTTTCTCCAACGTCATTATTTGGGCTGACAGTGGAGATACAAGGTCGACAACACTAACCGAACTCTGCCATTTGTCTTGCTGACTCATTTACCTGCTCTTGTGTCCCAAGCGGCAAGGAATGTGTGCAGCAGGGCACAGGTTCCTCGGCACTCCTGACCGCAACGTTATTGCTTACCGTGATTTTTCGGTTTTCCGCACTCTTTTTCCTCATTGCACGAGTGTCAATGTCAGTCATCTGTCTTTTAAATGGGAAGATATAAGCTATCTGGTATATGCTATAGCCCAGCGTGAATCCTGGGGTAACGAAGGTGGTTAAAGTCCAGTGACTTACTTATTCAACTCTCCTCCAATAGGGCCGGACGGAGTGGTGGTAAGGCGCTTTCACGTGATCTGAGGTGAAGCACTGCTTGATGCAGGTTTGTGCAGGCTTGGATGGGATTTATCCATCAAGTTGCGGCTGTGACGTTCACTTTGCAGCTGTGTGTTTGCACACTGTCCTGTCAGGCGTGTCAGTCGAATGGTGTAACGATTCCACAATAAGAAGACGGAATGGAGCACCAGGAGGTACGCTACAACAGGGGTAGCAAGAGGACAGAGATACTGATGCACCGTGTATGACTTCGCTTCACTTTTCCTTGCGTGGCAATCGGCGCTGGTATGAGGTCAGAGAGTTCAGTGCTGTCGCGTCCAGATGAGTCACACGTTCCTAGGATAGATAGGCGACGTGCGCGCTATCGAACCAGCGGTAGGTGGATAGGCAGCGATGCAGCGTAGGATTGAGGCGAAGCAAGATGACTTGGAAAATACTGTCTAATGACGACAGTAGCTGTTAAAAGGGCGGACAAAATTGACAGCTGTCGCTTTGTACAGCGACTAGAAGGAATGGTAGTAATATGTTCGGGTGATTCTCAAAAATATCTTTAAAATAAGACCACAAGAGTTCTTGAGCGACGAGAAGAAAATTAATTTCTCCGATAAGATTCAGACACGGTTGAATTCGAAATTGCAAAAGCACAGTTTGCTGGTGATCCGCGAATGAGAGATACAAAAGATGAACAGTGGTAAGAGAAGCATGCGGAGCTAAATCGAATGATAGTACGTAGATCTCTGTGAGATTAAATCCGAAGGCGAATAACGCAAGTGGACACTTTATTAGCGACCGGTCGGTAGACAAACAGAAAGCCACATTGAGGTGATCCATGGACACGGTTGTTCGGTGACCATACTGTTCTAAAGCGAATTGCTTTGGAGTCCGTTGCAGCACTCTGTAATGGCCAGTGTAGAGAGGCTGGAGAG